CAGTAGCTTTCACTCTAGCAACCAAGAAGAAGCAGGACGATCAAAACTCTGCAAACCTAAAATTGATTTCTAAATGCCTTACCAACACGATCGTGTGGAGATAAAGCACCACTTGCAAACACAAAGTCAAATTCGACAAAGGGAGGAGCTTCCTCTTTAGTGGCACCACATTGCATAAACAGGTGTTTCGTTTACATTTCGTAATCGAGGCACAGTTTCGTTATGTCATTATCAGGTTCCTACAATACGTGCATTTCAGGGCGGTGTGACTGAGAGTTTGCGCTAAAAAGCTAAACAGACTGCCATTTGCAAATGCGTGCAGCGGCGTCTTTATGTTTTACGCACAGGCATGTCAAATTTGATAAGGAAGCAGCTTCCTCTTTCGTGGCACCACATTGCATAAACAGGTGTTTGGTTTAAAATTTCATAATACCACTGTCATGGACACATGGCATAACGGAACTGTGCCTCGATTACGAAATGTTAACGAATCACCAACGCTATTACCAGCGCTATTGCCATTATCAAACATGTTGTAAAGCTTAACAAATGAACGATGAGTAACATGGTGATTATTATGGTGTTTGGCCTGAAGGACTCTGTTCGGTAACACTCGGCAACTGGGCAAGAACGATTCTGCATTCCGTTTGGCACAGATCTGTCATTGAATTTTTGCGATTTCTGAGTCGGACATATTGCGTCATCTTTGGGCCGTTTCATGCGCTACTTACGATGACACGGGTATCCCTCCAAAGACATATGGTTTTTCTCCATAGCGATCCCCCGTCGTTTTCCAGCATCATTTGGCTGACGAAGTTACTCTGTTCGAGGAGAAGTGAGTTCAGTGCCACATTTTGACTGCAAAACATGCAGCGTGAATAAAATATTTTTGTCAGCAGCTATCATGACTCCATTTGGGCATTGTTTATGATAAAATCATAAACAGAATCCACATCGCATAAACAAGTGCCTGATTTGCACTTCCTGATCTAAACACACTTTCCACATATGATCGTCTTGAAGACGCGTGCACGCGGAATCAGTAGCGCATTCAAATCAAATGTTATCACAAACACGCAATAATAGTAGTCTGGTAGGTGCGTGAGTGCATCCTCACAGCCATACGGCGCTGAAGCGCATAAGGTATAAAAGGCAATTACAAGTAACGCTAGGCGCATTGGAACTTTTGTGTCATGGGCAACGGTTTCCAAAATCGTGTCTCCTCTCTGGGTATCGTGGGGGCAGCTGTCGACAAGGGTCAACCAAAGGACGGAGTTCAGAATGGACCGAAGGCGATTCGAGAAAATGGTCTTATTGGACTTTTGAAGAAATTGAGTAAGTCGTCTACTAGAGTGAGTTTCAATTTGCTCTCAAATTATGCGTCGCACGCGTGCAACACAATCCATGCTCTACTTCAGTTGATCGACTTAACCAAATCCTCAAGGCTTACGTGCTGCTAACGCTTTACTACTCAATGCTAGATGCAAAAGTGAATGACTACGGAGAAATTACCCAGCCAAAGGATAGCGAGCCGGATGTCATTTTGAACTGTGAGAACCAGCGAGCACTGGTAAAGACCACTTTGGAGCTGACAGAATGTGTCTCGAAAAGTGTGAGTGAGAACGACATGACGCTCATATTGGGTGGCGATCACAGCATCGGAATTGGGTCGATTGCGGGTCACTTGAAGACCTTCCCCAATTCCTTCGTTGTCTGGGTTGACGCACACGCTGATATCAACACGCCTGGCAGCTCTGAGTCTCGCCACACCCACGGCATGCCTCTCTCTTTTCTGCTCACCCAAACCAGCAAACTCATTCCGCAAACCCAAGGCTTCGAAAACATCAAACCTGTGTATGTTTGAGCGCCTTATCTCAATTACCACTACTGGCCGAATAGACGCATATTGATCCCGTTTCTATTACAGTCTCGAGGCTAACCAACTCCTTTACATCGGACTTCGAGATGTTGATTTGCCAGAGCTGTAAGTTAAACTTCCGAGTTCATTAAATGTTGGAAGGATAAATTCACTGCTTACCAATTGTTTTAGGAAGTTTATAAAGGAGCTCAATATTCCGTACTTCGATATGCATGATGTGAAAAGACTGGGCATCCAAAATGTCATGGAGATTACTCTCAAGACCATAATGCGATATTGGTGAGTGATTGTTGGAAGTCATGCATTTCCGGTGAGGATGGATAGGAAGCACTCAGCTTCTGAAACATGGTTCTTTTGCAGTCCCAATTGTCATATCCACCTGAGCTTTGACATTGATGGGTTGGATCCCAAATACGCTCCCAGCACAGGAACCCCCGTTCCCGGTGGTCTCTCGCTGGAGGAGGGCAAGTACATTTGCAGGACTCTTGGTCAGACGGGTGGGTTGACATTGACGACGTTTAAGCTCATGCCTTAACTGCATTGTCAGTAGTGACGCCGATTCGGCTACGATAAAAATATTAGAGCAATTGTTCGCGATGATACTGCAAGACGAACACCTACACACTGGAGAGGAAATTCATGTTTAATATCTTCTGGCATATTTTGCCTTTAACAAATAGTTGATCAGTATTCTTAGCCTAATATCTCCATGAGGTTACGCCAGGAATGCTAAATCGGTGCAGCCAACAAGGGGCCGTTATTCCGTCTGGTCACAAGAATGAATGGCACAAATAATCGAAGACGACATAGCGATGCATTGGGCGTCTACTTCGTTGTGGAGGGGAGGGTGCCATTGAGGCGCCATGTGACACAATTAAGAAAGCACGCCTAGAGCATGAGGAGTCAACAGATCGTCTTAGAATGCTTGCATGTTTTCTTCTTATGAGAGTGAGGATAATATCCATGCACTTTGCTATTTAGGGCGGTTGAAATCAATGGTGGTAGCGGAGGTCAATACATCCCTTGGGTCAGCTGAAGACGCGACGGTAACGGTGAAATCTGCTCAAGAGATTATCAAAAGTGCTCTGCTCCTGGACTAGAGGCGCATGCAATACTGGCTGATTTATGCACACCAACTGCCAAATTGTGCAGCTTAGTACATTTCCTCTTCTGCTTAAGTACAAATTTGATTCTGTCATTTGCTATTTGTGAGAGGAGAATGTGGAAATTTGGGTAGTGTGAAACTTACTGCATGCATGTGCATGCAAGTGAAATGACTTGTAACATCAGCAATTTTGGCAGCTGAAATGCAAACAGTGTCAGTGGAGTAATGAACTGTGTGTTTGACAATAAGGGAGCAAGTTTATTTGGACCCCTCTGGCAGCGCTGAGGTGAGAAAAGCAATGGCTGAATGTGCAAATCATGAAAAATCACAACACGACTTGCGTTATGCTCTATTCTGCGGTAATGGATGATGATCAGCCACCACTTCGTGGTTATAATGGTCTCATCTTCCCACTTTTAAATTAACGACCCTTGAGAATCATAAATTCACGCAACTGACCCGATGCCATTGAGGTTCACAAGTGCATAATTTTGTGAACAAGCACGTCTCTCTCACTTAATACGAAAACTTTTGAGTCTTTTAGACTTCACTCAAATTCTGTGTGGTGAAATGTATGTTCGTCTGATACTGTCAGCAGAGTTTACGGTCATTGCACGAAGGCAGATATTCGACTAGCATGAATGGATTTGGTTGGTTATTCCTTTCTTCAAGTTAATACTACGATGAGGCTTTCACTGGAGTAAGGTTTACATAGGAGCAGCACGACTGCTTGTGCGAATCGTCACAGCGTGTTGGTAAGGCATTTAGCAATCAATTTTAGATTTGCAGAGTTTTGATCGTCCTGCTTCTTCTTGGTTGCTAGAGTGAAAGCTACTGCTTCCTGCATGATGGCAGACAAGCATAGTGATCGGTTCAGCACCACACCAGATTCTACCACCATGTTCTCTGCCTATATATTTAGGTAAAGCTAACCCAATTTGACTTGTACTGGTAACGCATTCAGGGACCATGCACAAGGAGGGGATTGGGAAAGGTGGTTAAAAAGACGAGGGAGTGATGCAATACGTATTCACTCGAGTGCACCTCTGAGTTGAGAAGCGCCCAGTAAACACACATCTCGTGACGGAATAGTCGTCGTCGATGAATGAGTTGGCAAGGCGTGTTTTCAACGTGCGTTTGCGTGATCTCTCTCAATCCTTTAAATATCCCTACCTAATCAGTATATACGTTCCCTGAGCAT